AAAAAAAAAAAAAACAGGCACCTTTAATTTTGTTACTAAGATTAAGCATGTTTTCATTTATAGTTTATCTGCTCTTTTCCTTTTCTACCTTTTTCCACTAGTTTACCTTTCATTTTTTCCATTAACTTTCAAGAGCTATCTATCTTTTGTGAATATTACACATTTTCTTTGTAATGTGTATGGCAAATACTTTCCCCAGTTTATCATCTGTCTTTCAATTTCATTCATGGTGACTCTTTTGATAAAATATTTAACATTTTTATGGTTTTAAATTTGCCACTGTTTTTCTTTTCATGTTTTGCAAAGGACAGCTTTCTTCTGCCCAAGATCATAAGAAGATTCTCCCATGTCTTAATACTTCTATAGGTTTATTTGTTATGTTTACTTCTTTAACCATTGAGAATTTCTTTATACACGAGATGAAAAGTAGAGGGTTTAAATGAATTATTTTCCTAAAAGCATTTATTTATTAGTTTATGTTTTCCCCTCTATTTGAAATGCCATCTTTATCATTATTTTAATCACTATGGATCCAAGTCTTCAGTTTTTTTTTTAATAGTTTGGTTATTCTTATACATTTTCTCTTCCATGTGAAATTTAGGTTTAGCTTGTGCATAAAACTGTATGTTTGCATTTTGATTTGGGATTGCACTGAATTGATAGGTTAATTTAATGAGAATGGACATAATTTTTTAAAAAACTTTAATTTTTTAAAAAACTTTTTATTGTGATTTGTGTGAAAGTTTACAGAGTAAATTGGTTTTCCATTCAATAATCATACACATGTTGATTTGTGACACTGATTGCAATACCCATAATGTAATAGCACTCTTCTCATTTCCTCCCTGTGTTTAACCATTTCCTTTCATTCATCTTTCCTACCCCTTCCTGCCTTCTGAGCTTTATCTCTGGAACACTGCTGCCCTTTTGATCTTGTATGATTGGTTGTTCTAAGGAGTGCCTACCTCCTTTGTGTTACTGTTCACCTTATGTTGTTGTTGTTGTTATGTGCCATCGAGTCAGACCTGACTCATAGCGACCCCTCCTTGGGTTTCCGAGGCAGTATCACTACGGAAGTAGGATTGCCCTGTCTAATGTTTGACTGAAAGTTGAGCTACAGCAGGGTGGGGTGGGGTGAGTCTGGTTCCAGGCTTAAAGGGTATCAAAATAAGCCTGGTCTTTATTATTATTATTTGGAGTTATGTTCCACATTTTCCTCCCACTCTATCCAGGACTTCCAACTGTGATCCTTTTCAGAGTGGTCAGCAGTTGTGTCAAGTACCATCTAGTTCTTCTAGTCTCAGGGTCATGAAGGCTGGGATTTGCATGGTCCATTCATCCTCTGGACTAATTCTTTCCTTTGATTTTTGTACCTTTGATTTTCTTCACTCTTCCTTGCTCCAGACAGGAAGATACCAATAATTGTACTTAGATGACCATGCACAAGCCTTTAAGACTCCAGTTGCTACTCACCAAAGTAGATGTAGAACATTGGCTTTGTGGACTATGAAATGCCAGTTGATCTTGATGTCCCCCCAGGACTAGGGTCTTGAGCCTCCAGACCCAATAACTCATTCTCTCAAGTTGTTTGGTTATGTTTAAGAAGGTTCCATAACTTTGCCCCCTACATGCTCTATTATGTTCATCAATATATGTGCAGCACATATAAATACATATGTAGAAATATCCTCTGTCAAGCCTATATATTTTCATAGATATAGTCCCATTCACCTTTCCACATCTGTTAAGTTTACAAATATATGTATGCATCAATTCATAGATTAGAGTTATTACTGTTACTGCAGGATTGTGTATGCAATATCATTTACCTTTGTTGTCTTTAACTCTTATGCTCCTCCCAGTGTCTTCCTTTGCCTTGATCATTTTGTGCTGGCCTCCCTCTTATTAT